AACACTTCCCTTTAGCGGTGATTAACATGGTCACCAGTCAGAGCACATGTCTACTTGTGTATTCCCACTGAGTCTCAGTCTGGGAAGGGTGTTTGCCCTGAGGGGACCTGACCGCTTGCCTTGATGTCTCCTGGGCAAGCAACTTCCTTGTTCTTGTAGTAATCAGTCAGACTGCTGTTATTGTTTTGTATTTTTCCTGTTGGTCTTTCTTTCAAGAAGTATCTTCTGTTCTTCTAGCCACTCCAGGATGGTCTGCTTGTCCTTTCCAGTGGAAATTTCCCACCTTAGAAGATTCTGGATGGGGCTCAGGATTCCACCTATGGTTTCATGTAATGCAGAGGCTCCACAGGAAGCGTCCTTCACTGGGCACATTGTAGCCCCATTTTAGGTATTCCAATTCCCACACCATTTGTGCAATTCCATTTGTCTACTCTATGTTGAAGAATAAGTTTCAGAGTCTCTTCTGACGTCACTTTGATCTCTTCTTTCCTGTTTTTTTAATGGCCATTTGCTTTCTTCATGCATGATGCTTTTTATGTCATCCCACAATATGTCTGGTCCTGGGTCATTAGTATTTAATGTGTCAAATCTGTTCTTGAGAAGGTCTCCAAATTCAGGTGGTATATACTACTCACAGTTGTATTTTGGCTCTTATGGGTTTGTTTTAATTGTCTTCAGGTTCAGTAAAACTTGCATATGAGCAATTGATGGCCTCACAGTTAGTTGGTCCCTGGCCTTAGCTGTCCCTGGCCTTAGTTTGACTGATGATATGGAGTTTCTCTGTTGTCTCTTCCTATAGATGTAGTCAATTTGATTGTTATGTAATCTATTAGGCAGGGTTCATGTGTATAATTTCCATTTATGTTACTAAAAAAACTATTTGCAATGAAGTTGTTGGTCGGCAAAATTGTAACATGTGATCTCCAGCTTTATGTCTGCCACCAAGGCCCTATTTTCCAACTACCAATCCTTCCTTATTGTTTCTAGCTTTTGCATTTCAATCATCAGTAATTATCAATGCATTTTGATTGTAGGTTGATTGATGTTAGACTGAAGAAGTTGGTAGAATTCTTCAGTTTCTTCATCATTGGCTTTAGTGGCTGGTGCATAAATTTGAATATTCATTAACTGGTCTTTTTTGTAGCTAAAGAGACATTATCTTATCACAGACAGTACTCTACTTGAAGATAGATTTTGAAATGTTCCTTTTGACACTGAATGTGACTCTATTCATTTTCAATTTGTCATTCCTGGCAAAGTAAAAAACACAAGACTGTCCAATTCAAATGGCTCGTACTGTCTATTTTTGTTCATTAATGCCTGATCTTTATGCATTCCACTTCTTTTGTTTGACAGTTTCTACTTTTCCTAGATTCATACTTCATACAATATGCATCCCAATTATTAATGGATGGATGAACAGTCAGTCCACTTCTAAGGGACTGTTGTTGTAGTTAAGTGGCATCAAGTCAGTTCTGACCTACAGCGACCCTGTATAGGGTTTCCAAGGAGTAGCTGGTAAGCTTGAACCACCAATCTTGCAGTTCTAATGGCTTTGCAGTCTGGTGCATTAACCCACAGCGCCACACCAGGACTCCTCTAAAGGATCAGCCCATGGAAAAACAGTGAACATTGTCTGACACATCACAGACCCTTAAAAAAGAAATGCTAAGCGAAAAACTGAGTGATTTTCATTCAGATCTGTTTAACTATGGAAGTAGCATGACCTTTGAAGGAAGCAGATGGCTCTGGCTCTCTAATTCACCTATGTATTGTAGAGCAGTTTCTAAGAATCTAATGAGAACACTGAAGAGAAAATCATTAAAAATATCCCACAAAAAAAATTCATTCAAATATGGTGGTGGTGGCTGTGTGGGGTTCAGTCGGTTCCAACTCATACACGCTGTACAGTGTTTCTGAAGCTGTAAATATTTATGGGAGCAAAAAGTCTCATCTTTCTCCTGAGAAGTGGCTAGTAGATTCAAACTGCTGACCTTGTAGTTAGTAGCCCAACTTGCAATCCACTATGCTACTAGGGTTCCTTTGTATCCAAATATAGGAGACTATTATAATAACTCATGTTTGGTCATATACATTCCTAATGAATAAGTATCTAGTTATAAAATTACTTGTTTCCAATTTAAACATTTACAAAATTATTTTTAAAATATTAAAATTAGATTTAAAAGAATAATATAAAATATAAGAACAAATTGTTAAAGGACAAGAAGTCACCAATAAGATGCCAGGCAGTGCAATATTAAAAATAAATTTTAACTTAGGATTAGATGGCTACTTTAGTTTTATAAAACTATCAAACAGGAACAAAAACTCTAAATACTTAAGAGGAAAAAAAAAGCTTTATTTTACAAGATCAAAAGCAGGTTTAGAAGTGAATAGGAAATTAAAAGTTAAATTCTCATTTTCTCACATCATCTTTAAAGGTTTTGCTCAGTACTAAGTATTAATTTTTAGGTTAAATGTGGCACTGTAGGACAAGCACTGGACTCCTCAGAAACTGCACTTAACAACAATTGATAGTTGATAAAACATACCAAAAAATTATTTCTATAATAAATTACAAGCATGCAATCTGGATTATTTTGGTGTTCCATCTGAGGTAGATTAGCCCACTGTGAGAGCAAGGACTTTTTTGTACTGCTATATTGAAGTGTTTGGTCTGGTATCTGACACAGGGTAGGTAATTATCAGTAAGTGTCATACTCCACTGTGTTTCTCTTTCCTTCTTTTCGAGAAAGAATGGGTCTTATATTAAAACTCCTTGGAGGAACAGAAGCCCACTGAGACCCAGAAGACTTAATATTCATTCTCAAGAGGGCAGAATGTCCATAATTATCCCTGCCTGGCCCCATTCCATCCTTATGAATCTCTGGCATAATCAACATTACTTAGTAGAGAACACACAGCATTTCATCATAATCTATGGCTCTTATCCAACTATTCAAGTTAATATTTAGCCATTCAGACAAAAACAAAAATATGACTACCAAATCATTCAGGCATACTTTAAAGTTTTCCACATAAGTAATTAGTAAGAATACTTACAGAGAGAGGCATCTTAAAAAGCTATCACTTTCTCCATCTTCAAGAAAGCTCTTGTGTGCTTGTGAACTTCTCATTTGCAGATCTGCCAAAAAAACAAGGTACAAGTTTATCATGTCCTATCTTCCAAAAGCTTGTCTCAAAGGACAACTTCTGAGTATACCTACTCTACAGGTGTCTACCTGTTTTCAACAGTGTGACCGGATACACTTTACAGTGAATGGAAGTTTCTCTAGCACATCAAAACCCAAACGGATACCACACCATGAATTTCCTTCTTTCATTTTCAACTTCTTATTGAAATTAACACTTTAATTATATGTTGTTGTTGTTATGTGCCATGAAGTCAGTTCCAACTCATAGTGACCCTATACAAGGTTTCGAGGCTGTAAATCTTTACGGGAGCAGAAAGTCTCATCTTTCTCCCGCAGAACAGCTAGTAGTTTCAAACTGCTGACCCTGAGGTTAGCAGCCCGATTTGTAACTACTATGCTACCAGAGCTTCTTAATTATATATGGGTCTCGAATAATAAAATTTGGTTAATTTCTAGTCTAATTAAAGCTAGAAATGCTCTTACGTTATATACTGTAATATACTGTCATTACTCACCCATCCACCCAAATAATTAGTTAATTATGTATCCAAAATAAGATATGGGGTCATAAACTTGATAAGCTAAACTCTGCTTTAGCTTAATACTTTGTATTCCTCTAAGTTAAAATTCACTAGAAGACAAAATAGATAAATAGTATCTCATAAAAATTAAAACTTATGCTCATCCAGAGATTTTATTAAAAGAATAAATAGACAACCTACAGACTGAGGGGGGAAAAAAAATCTTTGGATTGATTTATCTGATAAATCATTTAATGTCCAAAAGCTATATAAAACTGCAACAACTCAACAACAAAAAGACAAATAATCCAGTAACAAAACAGGCAGATAACTTGAACAAAACTTTTATTAAAGAAGATATCCAAGCAACCAAACATGAAAAGATGCTCACAACCATTAGCCAGTAGAGAGTTGCAAAACAAAACTACAGTAAGATATCATCTTACTCTGGGATTAAAATCACACTGATAAAAGATAAAAGTAACAAATGTTGGCTAAGATGTGGGTGACTATAGTGGGACTATAAAATGGCCCAACCATCATAGAAAATGGGATAGCACTTTCTAAAAATTCTAAAAACAGAACTACCCTATGATCCAGCAATCCTACTATGCATAATGCTCAAAATACTAAAACCCAAATTCACTGTCATTGAGTCAATTTTAACTCATGAAGACCCTATATAGGGTTTCCAAGACTGTAAATCTTTCTGGGAGAAAAAAGTCTTACTCTTCCATGTAGTGGCTAATTAGCTGTTGTTGTTAAGTATCGTGGAGTTGGTTCTGACTCATAGTGACCCTGCACAGGGTTTCCAAGTCTGTAAATCTTTAGGGGAGTAAAACGCCTCATCTTTCACCCACTGAATCACTGATAGTTTCAAACTGTTGTCCTTGAGGTTGGCAGCCTGACTCATAACCACTACGCTACCAGAGCTCCTTAATGAATAGTTAGTAGTCTAGTGCTAATCCTACAGTACCATACAAGGACTCTGATACCATACAAGGACTCCATGTGGTGGTGGTGGTATGTGGTGGCTATCAAAGTTGGTTCCAACTAACAGTGACCCTGTATAGGGTTTCCAAGGCTGTAAGTCTTTCAGAGAGCAGAAAGCCTTGTTTTTCTCCTGTGGGAGGAGGCAGGTAGATTTGAACTACTGACCTTGTATTTAGCAGCCCAACTCGTAACACACTATGTTATCAGGGCTCCTTATATACCCTGATGCTGTTGTTGTTAAGTGCCATAGAGCCGATTCTGACTCATAGTGACCCTGTATAGGGTTTCCGAGGAGTGGCTGTGAATTTGAACCACTGATCTTGTGGCTTAACCTGACCTTGCAGACCAGTGCTTATCTTACAGCACCAGACCAGGAATCCATTATATACCCTGATGTTGTTGTTAAATGTCATAGAGTAGGTTCCAATTCATAGGGACTCTGTATAGGGTTTCCAAGGAGTGACTGGTGGGTTTGAATCACCAACCTTGTGTTTCAACCTGACCTTGTGGTCCAGTGCATTATCCTGAAGCAACACATCTAAAAATAACGACATGGATGTATCTACGTTCACTGCTGCTTTAGTCACAATAGCCAATATATGGAAACCCAGTGGATGAATGGATAAGCAAATTGTGGTACATAAATACAAAGAAATACCATATAATCATAAAGAACAATGATGAACCCACAAACCATATTATAACATAGATGGAACTGGAGGGCATAATGCTAAGTGCCAATCATATAAAGATAAACACTGTATGATCCCTCTTATGAGTCCTAATTTGGCACTGCAGGATAAGCACTAGACTGTTAACCAAAGGTCAGCAGTTCAAACCTACCAGCTTTAGATTATAGAGACTTGATAATTATTTATTGGTGATGGAAAAAGTGGCACTGAATGTGAGCACAGCACAACCAAAGTGAAAATGAGTGTTTGAGCACATGGATGGATATAGCCTATTGGTATGTTGGTAGTACAGGTATGTACATAGGTGAGAACACAGAAGTATCTAAACAAACAAACTAGCAAGCCTACTGCCATTGAGTCGATGCCCACTCAAAGCACCTCTACAGGACAGAGCCACCACAAACCACCACCACCACCACAGAGTTTCCACGACTGTTAGTCTTTATGGAAGCATATTGCCACATCTTTCTCCTATATAGTAGCTAGAGGGATTGAACTGCAGACTTTCCTGTTAGCAGTCTAGTGTTTTAACCACTGTACTACCAGGGCTTCACTAAGTATAGAATTGTGTAGAGGTAGGTATATGCATAAATATAAATATGAGGATGCAGGCACATATAGTCATTGAAGACAGATGCAGATATAGATGTTCCACAGATATAACCAAACAGCTTCCAAGACTGGTTTCTAGTTTTGAAAGCTTAGGTCATAGTCTCATGGGACAACTCTGTCAATTGGCTTAACATAGTTAAAAAAAACTCTCAGGATCTGTGTCCTCATGAAGTGAGTAGTGCCTAAGGTTATAAATGCCTGGCGTAGCCATCTAAGATACAAGTCTTGACTTGCCAGGTCTTGACTTGCCAGGAGCAAAATAATAAGAAAGTAACCAAAATGTAGAGAAGAAACAAGTCTACAAGAGCCACAACATCATCTACCCTGAGACCTGATGAACTAGATGGTAATCTGCTATCACCACCCGCTGTTCTGACTGGGGTCACAATAAATGATCCCAGAGACATGGGTGGGACAGAATTCAAAGTTTTATTTTGAAAAACGCCAGACAAACTGGAACAGTAGAGGACCCCCATAACACAATGGCTGTGAGACGTCTTTAAACCTAGAGCTGAGTCTGTCTCCTCAGATCACCTTTGAGTGCTACAGCAGAATGGCACACAAAATAAAATATATTACCCACAAGATTTGTACCCTACTTTAAGACCATCATAAGGCAAAAAGGTCAGTAATTAGTCAAAAGCAAAGGTGAGAAGGAAGGAAACTAGAATAGTGGAAACGGAACAACTAGAACATAAGAAAGAGAATTTACACACATGGAATAAATGTCACTAATGTCACTGAACAATTTATGCAGAATTATCCAACGGGAACCTAATTTGCTGTGTAAACTTCACCAAGCACGCTGATAAAAAAGTAATTAAAATTCACTTCTTGCTAGAATAAGGACTCACGCTTTCACAGTTCACAGTCTCACAATTTGATTAGTTGGGAGATATCAGAATATTGGTTTAGTTCACACTCAAAACATCTCTGCAAACTAAACATCAGAGAATATTGGTCACCTAAGAATGGTCTCTAGATTAGTGGCATCAGCAAAATCTGGGAATTTATGAGAAATTCAAATTCCCCAATCTTAAGCCAAATGTGGTGAATTACAAACTTTGGAGGTGAATGAAGCCCTGGAATCTGTGTCTTAACAAAGCAATCGTGATGCTGAGAGCCACTGCTGTAGAAATGATCTCCATTAGTGTAAAGACAAACACACAACCAACTCCAACACTTACTCCAAGCTACTTAAAAATAAAACTTACACGACATTTTGCTTAGAGAGGAGTCTTTCAAATGTGTGGGTTCCTGCTCCAACTGTGGTGCAAACTGAATTTCTGGCTTAGACTAGAATGATAATGAAAGCAATTAAGCCATTTGTACTTCTTAAGTTTTTTTCCAGCAACAAGGTCTACAACACATCATCTCTATAAACATTTAAATTGAGAAAAAGTAACAGAAGTATGACATAAAAAATAAAACACATTAACCACAATATATTTTAATTGCATTTCCTAAACATCAGCTCCAGTGCCTTGCAAGAAACAGACGGATTTCTGGCATCATCAAGCATTTAGTCAGTTTAGCTTTCTGACAACATTAAAGAAAAAAAAAAAGAAAATAAGAGGGACAAATTATAATATACTGCATTAAATACCACATCCTACAAAAATGAGTTCTAATTCTAGTTGATCAGGAATAATTTAGCAGGCTGTCAAAATCTGTCACTAAACACATATTATCGCTATTTTTCTCATCTGAAACATTCTATTTTTTTTAAGCATGTTAAACACTCACTCCACACTTTACATCTTCTATTTATTTCTGATCCTCTGGAGTGGAGTTTCTGACACAAATCTTAAAGAAAAACAAAGGACTAATCTCACATCTGATCAAGAATGAATGATAACTTCTGAGAGCCCATTTACATTTTAATTGAAGTAGACTTAGGACATAGAACTTTTTCATGAATATAAAGAGAAAAACTTCCTTCTGTTTTACTTTTTGCTAAATTAAGTACAGGAGATCCAAGGTGCAGAGTAGTGCTAAAAAAATCACATATTAGGCTTATAGCAAGCCACTCAATTAGCAACAATAATTAAAGATTTACGTTAGCACTTGAAAGGAAAACAAATCAATAGTACAATTTGTTGGCTGGTAAACTTAAAGAATTAAATACCAAACTGAAAGGAAGACAGGGTGGTAAAGTGGTATGTGAACCTTGGAGCGAAAGTGACCTGGGTTTGAAGCCCAATTCAGTCATTTACTGGCAGTGAAATCTTTAAAAAGTTAAGACTCTCAAGTTTTACATCAATAAAATAGAGCTGTTTGAAGATCGGAGATCATATAAAAAAGTTACCTCTCTAAGAGGCAAAATGTTTCTGCAACAAATCTTTCAAAAGTTATAAGGAAAAGCATTACAAACAATAAAAACATCATATTGCTTTTCTCTAACAGTCATATGGCATCATATACACACCATTGCTTATCTTCAAAGTATATTAATTATTCTTATCTAAAAGTTCATGTTGAACCAATTAAACCACTATTTACTATTGAGAAGACTCAAGAGTTCTGGTTAGATAACAACTGGAGGGCTTGCCGAGGACACTGTGTCCTGATGCCCAATGTTTGCATGTAGGCTAAGGAAGTTATTATTATTTGATGATAAGTATTTGTTAGGTGGCTGAATCCATGGCTTTATACCAAGCCACTCACTCATTTAAGACATCTACATTTACTATTGTTAGCATTTAGATGAATCCAAGAAACACAAGTGTTACCTGGAAGATAACTATTTTTCCATCATCAGCTTGAAGATAAAAAGTCCACGAAGAGGTTATGAAGCTCTGTGCAGAGTCCACCATGTCACTCCAGAATGATCTCACCAGAGTAAGAGGAAAGAGCAGATGCATTTTTGGCATCAGGGACATGAGCTTAAAAAAGATGAAATCATGAGAAATATATTATTTTTTATATATGTATGTTCAAGAGAACATCATAAGCAAGATTCTTCAAATCCTTATTGATCCATGAAATAAAGAATTAAATGAATCTAACATAGCCATTACTATTATAGTAAATTCTTAGTTAACTCTACAAATTAACTATGGTAAAGCTTAAATCACAGGTTACTTTAAATTGCCATTAAACGCACTTGTACATTACCTCTCTCCTCTATCAGGTAATGTGTTTAGGAAATAAAACTCAAACTTCAAAATTAGCCCAAAGTTACATTATCAGTAGGAGGGAAATCTGCTACAATATACTGAATAAATGAATCATATATGCCATAAATGCTCTCATATTCAAATTGTATAGGGCTATAGTGGTTACGAATCGGGCTGCGAACCTTAAGGTCAGCGGTTCGAAACTACCAGCAGCTCCGTGGGAGAAAGATGAGGCTTTCTACTCCCGTAAAGATTTACACCCTCGGAAACCCTATACAGGGTCGCTATGGGTCGGAACCGACTCGACGGCACTTAACAACAATACTCAATTTTTATCATTATGCATTTTGGAAAATAAAAGTCTAAAATCACAATAAAATGGATCCAGTAGGAAACTCATATAGAGAGTACCAAGAAGTATAGAATTATCAATGATAATCTCAGGAAAGTCCCTCACAAAAGTTCTGAGCATAGTATCTTGTTCCCTGTAGCTATGCAAGGCTCCTTCACTGGACAGCAGGACAACTGAGACAATTCTTTCCCCATCTATGTTTGCTCTGTTTGCAAGATGGAAGTTTAATACAGCTACTATTCAGGCACATGAAAGTTATCTGCAATGTATTTTTTATAGCTAAGTGTAAATTATATTGGGGTTGTTTTAGTTCTAGATGGTCTGTACCACTATCCCCAACCCCTCATTCTAAATTGAGATTTATTTGGTGGTGGTGGTTATGAGCCGTGGAGTTGGTTCCGACTCATAGCATCCCTGTACAGGGTTTCCGAGGCTGTAAATCTTTATGGGAGCAGAAATCCTCATCTTTCTCCCGCGGAATAGCTGGTAGTTTCAAACTGCTGACCTTGAGGTTCGCAGCATGATTCGTAATAACTACACTACTAGAGCTACTTAGAGATTTACCTAGAAGACTCAAATTCTATTATAAAGTGATTTTATGTGAGAAAACCTGGATACTTCAAAACTTCCTGGATCACTTGTAGAACACTGGGTTTACCCTATTGGCTCTTCTCTTGCCAGAACTTGCTTATCAAACAGTATTTCATATCCAAAAGTTAATAAAAATTTAAAACTTTTAACAAATGTTTATAGTACAGAGTATGTAGGATACTGAATTATGGTATTGGAGAAATAATCAAGGGCCATGTTTTAGTAAGGAGGCAAACCTATATGTGAAGGGGGAATCTACTGAAGGATAGGCAAGAGAATGACATGAGATTTCTATTTCTATTTAAATATTCTGGAAACAAAGTAAAGGATGCATTGTCGTTGTTGCATGCTGTCAAATCAGCTAGTTACTATAATAATATAGATGAGAAAAGATGATGCTATTGAAGTTAAGTCACTGAGAGACTCTGGGCTATCAATTTCTCTGAGCTTCAATTTTTCATATGCAAAATTGGAAGAATATCTTTACTAGACTAAGAGAAAAAACAAACCAAGATTATGGATATGAACATCCTTTTTAACACCAAGTGCTATATAAAAATAATTATTCAATTACCATTTTCATTTGCAAATATGTACTTTTGTTTTAATGAAAATGAAAATAAAATATAACAGTAAAATAGGATCAAGTGGGTGGTAGACATTTTAAGCACTACAAGTCAGTTCTATTTAAGCAGGCAATTTAATTTCGTACTTGTTCTTGTCTCAATTCAGCAAATGGCAGCTGACTCTGGCAACCAAGATGGCAAGCAAATTGCTCATCAGATTGGGAATATGCTTCTGTACATGCTGTAAGAGAAAAATAGCCAAATTACAAAAAATGAAAAGGGAAAGAATGAGAAGAAAATGGAAAAGAAAGGGCTTTGGTCTTTTATAAAGATGTTTCTTATATTTAAAAAGCATTTCATCAGTATGAAATTTCCTAATTAGGTAGGAGCAGCAAATATATTATTTTATAAAATTCTGTATCTTTTCCCTCTTACAAGTCAAATGCTTCAAATATACATCTATTAATTACACACTTAGATTCTGGTCATATGATGATGTTCACATGAGAGAATCCCTAGCTACAATTTGTGTAGTGGAAAAAATACTGGACTGGTACCCACAAAACCTGATGCAAATTTTTACTAAATTATTTACTGACTATGCATGTGAGCTGGGATAAACTGTTTAATCTCTTTATTGATTTATTTCTCTTAAATCTAAAATAGAAATACCACAACCTACTTCATGGGGTTATTAGAATAAGACAATGCAATATTGTGATTTACACACATACAATATTACTGTTAATAACTGGATCACGCAGTTGAGAAGCAAGGGCATTCACATGGTAAGGGAAAAATTAAACAAAGTAATCAATTTATCACTCTAAATTCTGAGAAAAATGAATTCAGAAAATATTCTATAGCAAGTGACTTTAAAAGTTGAAATAAACCTCTAACAGATATATTGTCTTAATTTAGTTCGCTACAGCCATTTCTTTCTTGTGATATAATACTACATTACTATAAGAATTGTGTATGTTCAGGAGGGATAAAGATGGTGGACTAGGCAGAAAGGCTGTGTGGGATCTCTATAGCAAGAATATGGAAAACTAGATCAGACAGATACAGAAGATGGTCCAGGAACTCTGAGCTCCAGAGAAAGAGATAGAAAAGTGGACAGAGTGCTTAGTGGGAGAAAAAGCTGAATAGATGTGGCAAGAGAGAGGGGACTGACAAGTAACAGTAGTAGACAGAACCTGCTGGAGCCATCTTGAGAGTTCATGAATGACTTTAGAAATGAGGAAACCTATTTGTAATGCAGAAACCTACCTATGGCTTGAAGAGACACAGGTGCAATTTTATATTATTTTAACCAACCAGCGTACATCCCCAGGGAATCTCCTGCTTTCCAGGCAGTCAGAGCCACGTAAAAGTTGTGAGCCCCAGGGAGGAGCGATATACAATAACCACACTAGCGTAGGCTCTGATCCAAATCTGCAAAGTTGACCCTGACCAGCCTTGGATTGGCTCTCACTAGGAAAGGGAGTTGAACGGATGCATGGGGTAGAGAAAAAAAGTGAAGGAAAGGTGATGGGTTGACCTATAAGGGCCTGCCAGAAGCAGCATAACCATTTTGAATGTTCGCTGGCAGCTGTGAAGGCAAGAGGCCTGTAAGTGGTGCAGTACACCAGCTATTGGCAGAGAGAAAGCCACTGACTTTCATTTTTTGCTGTGTGGACTGTTTTGTTCTTGTTTTTGTCTGTTTTCCTTTTCGCATCACACGAGACAGCAATAAGGGCCATACAGCCAAGCCACAGTTAAACCATCTACAACTCCACCAACTGGACAAGAGTCAATACTAGCTGCTCTACACCAGAACCATGACTATAACCAACATCAACTTAATCCACGTGAACTGAACTGTATGAACAGTGAACAGAGAAACTCATCTCCTGATCACACACACTAGTTGGCAACTGGTGAGAGCATGAGAATTCACCAACATACATTCATCAACTTAATAAAATGCAACACCAGCACAATGCCTAGGAAGAAACATCTTTTCACATGAAGAAACAAGACAGAGTAGCACAAACAAATGACCAGGAGACAGAGCTGAAAATGCTTTTGAGGAAGAAGAGACACTGGAACTATCTGAAAAAGAATTCAGGAGAATGGTATTGAGGTACATCCAAATGTTTTATAGAAAGGTTGAGGAAAACAAGGAAGAATTCAGAAAAGTGCTACAGGAACAATCAAACAAAATAGATACAGCACTGGAGACAATACAAAACCTTCAAACATAAATTCATAAGATCAATTTTTAAGATATCAGAAATGGACAATACACTGAAAGGGCAAAAAAGTAGAACTGAATCAATGGAAACCAGAATTAGCAAAGTTGAAGATAAATCTCTCAATACTAGTAAGATAGAACAATCAGAGAAAAGAATGAAAAAAGCTAAAGAAAGCCTAAGATTTATGTGGAACAACATGAAGAGAAATAACCCACAGGTGATTGGAATTCCAGAACAGGAAAAGACAAAGAAAATGAGAGGAAAGATAGTTGAGGAGCTTCTGGAAGAAAATTTCCCTAACCTCATGATAGATGAGAAGATAAGTATTCATGAAGCTTAACAAACCCCAAACAGGAGAGAACCCCTCCAAAAAAAAATCACAAAGACATACTATAATCAAACAACAAAATCAAAGACCAGGAAAGAATCCTGAAAGCAGCTTGGGAAAAATGAAACATTACCTACAAAGGAGAACCAATAAGACCAAGTTCTGACTTCTCAGCAGAAACCATGCAGGCGAGAAAGCAATGGGGAGACACGTACAATACTCTGAAAGAAAACAACTGCCAACCAAGGCTCATATATCCAGCAAAGCAGTCTCTCAAATATGATGGTAAAATTAGAACGATTCCAGATACACAAATTTTAGAGGTGTTTGCAAAAGCTAAGCCAACTTTATAAAAAATATTAAAGGGAGTCCTTTGAACTGAGAACCAACAACAGCAGAAAACAACTGAAGACTGAAATATATGGCACCACCACTCACAATTCAATTCAGATATTGAAGCATCCAGAGTAAAACAAAGATAGGGAATCAGATATATCAGTTTATAATGAAGACAGAGCAAAAAGAGGGGAAAGTATAGTATAGTTATAGAATACTAGAAAGTGAGGAAGTCAAGTACATTTAAAGAAAAAACAGACTGTTATAATTTGGGGAAGAAATTAATAAATTACAGAGTAATCACAAAGAAACTTAATACATCTTCACATCAATTAAAGAAAGTCCATGAAGTTTTTTAAACATTAAACTATGAATAAATTGGTAAGAAAGAACCAGCACATACACACACAAAATGAGCTCAGCACAGGAAAAAATGTGAAAACACAAAGCAAAATGACTGCAATCAATTCATGGTGGTAGTGGTGATGTGCTACGGAGTTGGTTCTGACTCAGAGCGACCCTGTACAGGGTTTCTGAGGCTGTAAATCATTACGGGAGCAGAAAGCCTCATCTTTCTCCCACGGAACAGCTGGTAGTTTCGAACTGCAGACCTTAAGGTTCGTAGACCGATTCGTAACCACTACACTACCAGAGCTCCTTGCAATCAATTCATACATCAATGGATTAAATGCACCAGTCAAGAGACAGAGAGTAGCAAAATGGATAAGAAAACAGGGTCCTTCAATATGCTGTCTATAAGAGACACATCTTACACTCAAACCATAGATTAAAAGTTAAAGGATGGAAAAAATGTATTAAGCTAGTGTCAATCAAAAATGAGGAGTGGCAATATTAATCTTTGATAAAATAGACTTTATGGCAAAAACAAGCAAAAGAGACAAGGAGGATATTATCTAATGATTAAAGGGTCAATTGAACAAGAGGACAGAACCACAATAAATATCTATGTTCCCAAAGAAGAAGTCTCAAACTATAAGTCAAACTCTTATAAAATTGAATAGATAACTCTACAATAATATTAGATTTTAATACACCACTGTCAAAAAAGGGACAAAACAATCAGAAAGAAATTCAACAAATACATAGAGAAATTAAACAACACAATCAATCAACTTGACTTCATAGATTTATAGAGCATTAAACCCAACAACAGCATGATACACATTCTTTTCTAGTGCACATTCTCCAGAATAGACCATGTTAGATAGCTATACAAGTCTCAATAAATTTAAAAAATAACAAAATACTACACACTATCTTCTCACATCACAATGCTATAAAATTAGAACTCAACAATAAGAAATAAAATCAAATATATGGAAACTGAATAGCATACTGCTAAAAAGTCACTGGGTTATAGAACAAATAAAAAATGCAATTAAAATATTTCTTGAAGTAAATTAGAATGAAAACACAACATACCAAAACCTTTGGGACACAG